CGGGGGGAGCCGGGCCGCAGGGTCTGCCCGGGGTGCGGGCGCTGCCCGGGCCGGGGGCAGCCCGTCTGTCCGTCTGTCCGGGCTGGCAGCGGCGACAGCCCCCGCGCTCGGTGTCCCCGGCGCAAAGGCGGCGGCCCCGGCGGGGGTGACCGGACCGGGACACGGCCCGGGGCCTCCGGTAGCGCCCCCTGGCGGCCCCGGGGCGCGCAGGGCCCGGTCGCGGCGGCGCGGAGTAACGGGAGACACGGGGGGCGGGCGGTGCCGGTTTAACGGACGGCGGCAGGCAGCTCTCCCCGGGCGGTGCGGCCGGGGCCGAGGCGGGGCTGTCGGAGCCGGGCAGGACGAGCCCCGCCACCCCGGTACCGACGCCTGCGGCCCATGAGATCTGCTGGCGTCGGGCAGGAACGCAAGGAAGGCAGCACCGGCGGGCGCTGTCGGCGGCTGGAGCTGGGAGCGCTCCCGGAGCGGAGGCTCCTCTGCCCGGCTCCGGGCTCGGTAACCCCCGGCGGGAGGGACGCCGTGATCCCCCTGGGGCCGAGCTGGGCAAGGGGGGAGCGGGGGAGCATCGTCAGACGTGTCCGGGGCAGGGCTGGGCTGTTGTCACCCGGGGAGAAGCTCTCTAGTTCTTGCTCCTCCTGTCCAGACCCAGCGCGTCCACACCCGGCGGAGGGACCGCTCCGGCTCCCGGGGCCTCTCCAGGGTCCCTGCAGGGCGGAGGCGGGGGGGGCATCACAAGGAGCCGTGGCCCCGCGGGGCAGCCCTGGCCTTGCTGGTGCTTGGGCAAAAAAGACCCTGTGAGCCATCTGGAGGGGCTGCAGGAGGAGGCTGACGGCTGGCCCGGGCTCCACGCTGCCCACGATGGCCACGATGATGTTCTTGAAGAGAAAGGGCGCTACCAGCACCCAAAGGATGATGTAGGTTCTGCTGATGAACTTGCTCAAACTCGAGACCTCCCAAGCTTCCTGCAGCAGGTTAAACCGTGGTGAAGAGGAGGAGGCAGTCATCTCGGCATCGGTAAGGCTGCTGCAGGACGACAACGGCTCTGCCACGCGTGTCCTCTGAGTGCTCCCGCCCCACGGCCCCCGAGGTGAGGCAGGGTGAGAGCGGCACTCACTGACGAAAGCCTGATGTGTTGGTGGCTGCAGGTGAGCGTGACTGAGCATATCTTTATCAGAACAAATTAGTTTATGGCAGTGCTAGATATCAGTATTTCTCAACTCATAAAACAAAGAATAGCATATGTACTATTACTTAGTAAGCTTATTTTAGAAAACTCCAACAACTTCTAATATTCGAACTTTTATCTTCTGCTTAGAAGAAAATGCCCTTCTTTATGGTTTGGACACTTGATTTAGGTCAATGGTTAGCCCTGCAGAGCATCAAAATTGCAAACTCAGGGGTGGGGAGCAGAGTAGTAGTTCATTCTTTAAAAGAGACAACACTAGCATGTCCTTGTCTTCATGTTATTTTCAATTCTAAATAGAATGAAGTCTTTTTTGCTTCCTCCGTGTTCAGCAGCAGTGGTGTTAGAGTCCAATATATAAAGCAGGGACAATAAATCTGCACTGAGGTACACGAACGTTGGAGCTCTTTTTCATTGAAGACAGGTGGAGAGGGGGGAGGAAGAACACAGTTGGTTTGCATTTTGCTTCAAACAGGGATAATTTCAGTAGTTTATACCTGAACCTCTTAGTCCTGGCTTGCTCAGTCATTAGCTAGCTAAAAATTGTGGAGTATCTTAACTCTTCTTGTTGGAATAGTCCGTACACCTGAATGAGAGAGAATTTCAGTGATTAGCCATTTCTGCTGGTTTTTAGGTGACTTTAGTATTGTGTAATGCCAGCAATGAACAGTAGTTCCAGGTCATTTCACCCACCAACTTAAAACATTGTGCTGTTGTCATGAGTAGCAATTAATCACTTTATCTTTGGACTGTGTCACAGCAACTGAAAGTCGTAGAGCCAAAGTCTATAAGGTTATGGAATAAAAATATATATTCCAATTGGCATTTGCATCTCTAGTTATAGGCAGCTTGCAGAAGAGTGAGATGGTGCTGTAAAATATATTTTCAGTTAAAAATAGATTCCCATGAGTTAACTGAACTGGCTTATAGATCACAATATAAAGGTTTTGCCATTACTTCATCTCCTTCTGCCTAGAGCATGTTGAAAATGGAGTTGTCTCTGACCGGAACTAAAATGACACCGTTTTTGTCAGTCAGTGAGAGCTGACTCTGACGTTGTTTGAAGTAGTAGAAGTGACCAAATGTAACGTTAAAGCAAATGCTTGCCACCGTCTGAGACAAAATCACAGCAAAACCACACATGGAGTTCGGGAAGGTTTTGTGTGCCTGAATGAAAAGAATTTAGCTCCCCATTTTCGTGCTGTCTCCGGCTGGTGCCCGTCGCGCTGTGCCTGGGGCGGCACCGGGAAATGCCGCAATTGGTGAATATTTAAACCGGGGCACCATCTAGTGGCAGCTTTTTAAAAAATCTGCTCAATCATATAGTAAAATAAAAGCAAATAATAACTTTCTCTTTCAAATTCCAGCTGCGTGTACAAAGAAAAGCAAGGAGCTATGTTACAGCGAGTGTAAAAGCATCATCCTCCCCTGAGGAACCCCGGTGTCATTCTCCTTCTTGTCACGTGTTTACACCTTTCTTGTGGTAACATAACTCTTAGTTTTATCTTCTTGCGCAAAATGCTCTTAGTTGCAGAAGTTAGCTTTTCAGAGAAGAACAAAGATAATTATCTTGTTGTAAACCAAAAATAGTTTGTGCACGAAATAATATTCATTCTTCAAAGGGTCGAGTGTTTTTTCTCTTTAAACATCTGACTGTAAGGGAAGCTGGGTTCGCTTGCTGAAGAGTATGACTACCCACGGCGTAGAAAGAGCAGTGAAAGTGGCATTGCATGTGTTTCCCATGTAAAACTACTGGTGCCTTTCCTCTGCTCTGGAGAGACCCCAGTGTTCTCACCCCACACCTGAGGTGATGCCAGGACTCTCCCCCAGGCAAACACAAAGTTGTTGGCTTGTTACGGAACAGCACGAGCCTGAAGCCATCCAAAGGGGCAGAGCATCCTTCTGCTTCCCTTTCTTCGGCTTCATGGATGTCCTCGACATCGTTCTGATCCCCTCTTCCCAAAGCTCTGGTGGCTGCTCCTGCTGAGCACGAAATGTCCTGGACGTGGTTCCTACTGACCAAAATCAGCTCTCGCCGATGCGGATTTCCCTCTCTGTTAAATGCCTGTTCTTCCTTTCCTCAGCTGCAGTGCTGTTGGCTGCTCACCCGCTGCTCTTGACTTAAGTGGTGCTTGTGTGTGGTCCTGAGAAGGGCTGGGTAGGTACGACATGGTGGTCCCCACACAGTTGTCTGCGTATGAATAATTTTCTTCCTAAATGAAAGGGAGGAAACTCAAATTGAGAAGTCTCAATTTTACTCTACCATCATTTTTGCGTCACTGGAAGGGCTGTTACTCCACAGCGGAGGCCTGGGAGGTGCCTGGAAGCATCTTCTTCCTTACTGCAGGCTGAAAGTAGCATGGTCATATACAGAGTTTTTGGCTGTTACTGGCACACAGTTTTAAGCCCATTAAAAAAACAAATAGGAGGAAAGTGCACATTCACTTTTGTTATTATGACATTTATAAACTTAGAGGCAAATTAGTGTGATTTTGGAATGCTGTTTTAGAGGTGGGAGGAGGATGCAGAATCAATACGAGTCAGCCCTAAGGAGTGTCTGAGCTGGAAGGGCCAAGGGCTGTCGTTTTAACAGACGGTTCAACCAAGCCCAGTAACTTCCTCTTCTTTAGGGAAATAGCTATTCTAAACCTGTTGTATATACGTGAATGGAATTTTCATTGCTGCTGCTATAAACATCAAAATACATGCAAACTGGATCAAAATAGATATATTTTTTTATATTCTGGTGTTCTTAACCTCAGTAGTCTTAAGAGATTTCTGTTTTAGTGAGAAGCAATTTGCACTTATTTGTCAGCATCAGTGAAACGTAGAACATTTCTGTCCAGTGCATCGGCTCCATGGAACAGATTGCTGCTGCTTCTGTAGAACTTGATGTTTTTTCCCTCGGAGGTGCAACAATTAAAGAGACAGCCCTTACGACACTTACTGCATGTGTTTAATTAGGCCATTTGAAGCACTTCGGAGCAAAGTGGGAAAAGAACCTGTTATTGTGGGTCAAATTTCTCAGTCCCTAAGGCCAGAGGAACACTTTCTGCAGATTTCTGCGAGAACTAGAGAACGTTATATCGTAAGGTTATCATTTCTTTCCTTAGAAGAAAGCCTCAACGTCTTGTTTTTCATCTTTTTGCTGAGTGCGGGGGAAGACAGGATGCTGACTCAGAAATAAAACTCCTCCTGAAGGTAGTCCCGTGTCCCAGCCGCAACTCACAGGCCGGTGCCGGTGTCCCTGCGGCTGAAGTGTCCCCTCCGGCCCCGCCCCTCGCCTGTCCCGCCGGCACCGACACCGGCACCGGGTGCTGCGGCGGCTGCTTCTGGGCGGCAAAAGCACCCCGGGCGACGGTTCTGTTCCTGTGATGGGGAGCATCAGGTTTTTCAGCCCTGTGGTTCGAAGTGCCATCTCCAGAGCCTCTTCCCGCTCCCGGGGCCGTTCGGGGAACGGGAATTCCTCCCGGGATTTCCGAGAAGGCACGTGGCGGGGCGGGTTCGGAGCAGCCCCGCAGACGGGACGGTCCCGGCCGGTGGAAGGGAGGGAGGGAGGGAGGGCCGTGGCCGTGCCGTGGCTCGGGAAGGGCTCCGGGCCGCTCCCGCTGCCGCCGGTGCTGCCCCCCCCGCCCCCCGAGCGGCCCCGAGACCCGGCGTCGGGGGGAGGGAGGGGCGTGGTCGCCGCAGCTGGCCCCGCCTCCCCGTGTCGGCAGCCCATTGGCCGGGGTCGGCGTGACGCGCGGCGCGGCGCCCAACGGAGAGCTGCCACACGGCAGGTCCGGCTGGGAGGGGCGGGACTTCCGGCTCCGCGGACCCCCGGC